TTCCGTCCCGCTCCCCCACTCTATAGTTCACAGAATCTGGGTGTATACTTAAACTGTATCAGAATAGCCACGGATATGATGTTCGAGACACTGAAGTTCGGCAATCGTTGATATTGACGGTCGAATTCCGTCGACGCTCCCCCACTCTATAGCTCACAGAATCTGGGTGTATACTTGAACTGTATCAGAATAGCCACGGATATGATATTCGAGACACCGAAGTTCAGCAATCGACGATATTGACGGTCAAATTCCGTCCACGCTCCCCCACTCTATAGTTCACAGAATCTGGGTGTATACTTAAACTGTATCAGAATAGCCACGGATATGATATTCGAGACACCGAAGTTCAGCAATCGTTGATATTGACGGTCAAATTCCGTCCACGCTCCCCCACTCTATAGTTCACAGAATCTGGGTGTATACTTGAACTGTATGGGAATAGCCACGGATATGATATTCGAGACACTGAAGTTCGGCAATCGTTGATACTGAGCTCGGTGCCCTTACAAGAGCTTGCTCCCTTGCATTTCCTCAATGCATACGGAGTTGACTGTTGCGACCAAGTGACAAAGAAATGATGTGGAAACTGACTATTTGTGCATCCTATTGATTTGACTATCCTCGAGATTCCAAAGCCATGAGGATATGCTGCGCCGCAGGCGGCTTTAGCTTTTTGTTTTGACTTAGGGGCATTGTATTAATATAAGGGCATTTTCTAAAATTTTGGGGCGGAGCGAAAGAATTAGGGGCGGGGCGGCAGAATTAGGGGCGCGCATGAGAATATGCCCAGACAGATCAGATAGATCCACGGGATCCGAACAATGGTTTGAACGGACAATGTCTGAAACGGTCGGGCGAGAGCGAGTTTTACGCTACTGGGAGCGCACGCCATAAGACTGAATGGCTATAGACTCTTATCATCTCTCCTCCCCGTAAGATTGGCACAAATATCAAAAGTGAATTAAATCTACTGAATGTATGCAATAGTAATGGGATTCATATTCTGGGCTTTACCGAAGTACTCCGGCATATTTCTAGAATCTTGAACAGTGCCGTCGGAAAGCTTGTAAGTAGAATCGCCAAGTACTTGTTGAACCAGTAGAGGGCCTCTCCATGAAGGAGTAAGGGGGTCGACGTTACGGACCCACTTCATCACGGAGTCACCAACCTTGAATAGACGTCGTCGTGCGACTTGTCGAGTGTAGGTTGATGGATTGATACGCGAGAGAGCATCAGCACGCATCTTCTCCATTACGTTGAGAGTGCTGTTGACCATTCTCTGTCGTTCTGGCATCACTGAGGACGATGGTGCCGATGGCTTGGTCGTCTCGAGCGGCATATAGAGCCGGTATACCACTGAGATAGTAGTCGAACAGTGACTTGAAAGCCGCCCGCACAAGGGTACTCTGAGCTTCCACCTCCTCGTCGGTGATGGCGGGATCTTGGAGTCGCTTGGACACGTCAGTGAGAGCATGCAGAGCATCAAGCTGCTGCTTTCCAAGATGACCAAGGAAGTAGTTGAATGTACCACACCATGATTTGAGCCATGATACCCGAGACAAGATTTTGAGGTTTGAGGCAGCTGCGGCAACTTTAGGAGCTCCTCGCTTACGCTTGGCCTTGAAGGTTCCGTTGATAAACTCGTCCCATGCGAGATCAAAAGATGCCTCAGTGAGTACCCTCCGCGATGGATGCGGACGATAGCGTCCACCTGACTCGATGACCAAACCGCAAAAGGGAGTTACCGATGCAGGGCCGACAGTCTTCAGGGGGTTAACAGCAAAGCAATAGTCTTGTAGGACACTGGTGACGATAGAAAGAGCCTTCATAGAATCAGCTTTGGTAGGACAACCTAGCAGGATGTCATCTTGCACGAATAGGACAGAGCACGGGCAGTTAGCTTTTGCGAGAGCTTCTTTGATGGGGTTGTGTACAAGCCAATGTACACAGGTATGGAAGAGAATACTTGACCAGCACCATCCCTGGGGTATGGTGCAGATTTGCCAGACGTGCTCCTTGCCAGTGATAGGGTCGACGCTAGTGGTCGCTATTTTTGTCATCAGGGTGGGATGAATTCGAGCACAGCCGAAAGCATCCACCAGATCCAACCGACACCAGAAGTTGCAGTGGTGAATATCCGTGCGACGGAGTTGATCGATGGCCGACGACTGATATTGTTTAGAGGTGACATCAGAAGTGGGGGGAAGGTCTCGTACCACAGATTGCGGATAATAGACGAAGCGACCATTGCTGTCTGTCCGCAGTGAGAGGTGGTTCAGGGGCCTGATATCAGTAGTGATCCGATATCGTTGATGAAGATCATCAGATGGATAGACACGGGCAGGAGCGGTATCATCACCGTGATCGAGCTTGTCGACGAGTACAGGTTGGAAGATGCAAGTGCATGCTTCCGGACAAGATGGCTTGACCTTGCCAGCTTCGGCCATACTCGTCAGGCGCGAATGGATGATGGACTGATCGACCACACTCCTCTTCCGTGATGGTGCTCTATATGGATAGATGAGAGCGTCCTCGACAGCAGGGAGCCTAGCTCTCAGCCTCTTCCGTTTGGGATCAATGTCATCAGGAATGACTTCGACCAATGGGGTTAGAGCGGCTTCAGAGCGGGCACAGAGTGGGGTTGATGTGGCGGGCGCCGGACTATTTTTGGCGGAGGCCATGTTGCAAACGATGTCCACGCCTTTGTCAGAGACCAGCCGAATGCCCAAAAGTGAGAACATGTTACGGCCTATAAGACAATGTGGACGACACCCATCAACGACCAGAAATGAGATGGTGACAGTGCCAGCGGATCCAAGGAAGCAAGGGACCTTTGCGACAGAGTCAGCCGAGAGAGCCTGATTATTACCGAAGGTAACGGACACAGGCGGTGATAGAGCCTTGACATCAGCAGGCCTTATGATGTCATTAGCAAGAAGAAAGTGAACGGTAGAGCTGTTCAGAATGGAGGCGTTCGCACCACTATCCACGAGTCCCTGGATAGGACAATAAGTCTTTGGAGCATCATGACCAGCGACAAGGTTCACCACCGGATCAGCAGGGAGTGAACCGACGATATCATGAAGTGCTGTACGAGATGAAGCACAGGCGACACTGCTGTGGATGATCTTTAGCTCAGAGCCGTCAGAGATCTCCGTTGCAACAGTGGACATATTGGCTTGAGTAGTGGATGTCATACTGTCATTGTTGATAACCTTTCGGCAGACACCACTCAATGACCATTGCGCTTGCATCTACCGCACTTGAAACTCTTGGATTGGCACTTGTGCTCGCTACCAGTACGGAGTCGGCCACACCTGTCACAACGCTCCTTCTGCTTGAAGATTTGAGTATGACGACATGAGTTGGCCTGATGTGAAGGCAACCCGCAGCGTAGGCAGTTATCAGGCGGTATACCAAGCTCTTTGGTAGCTAGTGCACAGATGGAGATGATCTGAGAATGATCGACCTTCTTGAG